TAGCAACAAATAGTGATCCTATTTAGCACTATCATGATAGGTTATGTGTTCTAATAGTGGATGAACTCGTGAGAAAATGTTTTAAAAGAGACACATGCTACACCTTGCTCAATTCATCCAGGAGGTACCAAGATGTATAGATACTTGAAAAAAGTCTATTAGTGGAAGGAAATAAAGCAAGATATTGCCAAGTTTATGGCTAAGTGTTCAATATGTTAACAAGTCAAGATTGAGCATTAGAAGCCATTCGGACTATTAAGGCCCTTAGACATTCTCAAATGGAAATAGGAGCGAGATAACTATAGATTTCATTTTTAGTTTACCGAGATCGGAGGGCTGAAAGGATTTGGAGGGTTATGGATTGCTTGATAAGATCGGCTCACTTTCTCGCTATGAAATCTACATACATAATATAGTAGTATGTCAAACTATATATAAAAAAGTTTTTGAGGTTGCATGGTATTCTTGGTCGAGTGTGTCGGATTAAGACTCATAACTCACATTTAAATTTTAGAGGAGCTTGCATCAAATAATGGAAACAAACTTGAACTTTAGTATCGCATGATGGACAAACCAAGAGGGTGAAATAGATTATAGAGAACATTTTGTGAGCTTGTGTCTTAGATTCGTCGCGAAATATGAGAGGTATCTACCCTTGGTAGAGTTTGCCTATAACAACGAGTTACCAAGCTAGCATTGGAATGCCACCTTATGAGGCATTGTATGAAAGGAAATATAGGTCACCCATACATTATGATGATGTTGGTGAGAGAAAACCGTTGGAACCCGAGATGGTCCAACAAGCCACTAAGGTTGAGGAACTGGTTAGGATGAGAATGAAGGTAACTCGGAGTAAGTAGAAAAGTTATGTAGATAGATGGAGAAAAAGCTTAGAGTTTGAGGTAGAAGACAATGTGTTCTTAAAATTGACACCAATGAAGGGAGTGATGAGATTTGAGAAAAAGAAAATTGAGTTCGAGATACATTGAACCATTTAAGATACTAGAGAGAGTTAGGGATAGAGCATACATACTAGTTTTTCCTCTAGTCCTTACTACGATGCATAATGTTTTTCATATATCCATGTTGAGGAAGTATGTTGAGGACTCGAGTCATGTTTTGAGGGTTGAACCATTAGAGTTAAAATCAAATTTGAGCTATGAAGAAAAAAGAATCCAAGTGTTGGATTGAGAGATTAAACAACTAAGGAATAAGAATATTCCTTTAGTTAAAATCTTATGGAGGAACCACAATATAGTGGAAGCTATATAGGAGAGAGATAGGTTAAAATGAGATTGAAGTATTCGAGTTGTTTAGTAAGTTCAATTTCGATGATAGAATTTTCATAAAGAGGAGAGGATGTAATACTTGAATCTAATTTCTATGTTTTGTATGAATATTTATTTTGTTAATTATATTCATACCATGCTTGTGTTATTGATGATACATGTTTTGTTTACAAAATTAAATGTTTGTTAAGTGTTATGTGTGAATAGTGAAGTAATTGACAAGTGAAAGACTTAGTAAATATAATTTAATTAAGTGATTTTATGCATGTATAACTTAGGATTTAAAATTTAATTAGTTATATAAACATGTATTAATATAAGAAATAATTAGGTGTTTTACCTAAATTAAAATATCTAAGTGTAAAATATCACCCTATGACATGTAGCTCATTAACGGCATTTTGGGTAAAAGTTTTGACAACATGTATTAATATAGGAAATAATTAGGTGATTTACCTAAATTAAAATATCAAGTGTAAAATACCACCTTATGATATGTAGCTCATTAAGGGCATTTTGAGTAAAAGTTTTGACCAAGAGAATGAAATAAAAGGGGGAGTTTTGGCTTAGTTTCATTTAACATTTCATTTGCCTCCATTCTTTTATTTTGAGAGAACTTAAAAACTAAAGAGAAAGAGAGCAAGAGAGACTAGATCACAAGAGGGAAACCAAGAGAGTCAAAATTTACCAAAGAAAGGAGTTGAAATTGCCAAGAGGAAGCAAGCTTGGCCGAAAGGAGGAGAAAATTATCGAGAAGAAAAAATAGAAGGAGAGGGGTTGTTTTGGCTGAAACATTAGGCAAGGTGGAGAGTGGTGGTTTTTTTTGGGTTTTGAGGTGATTTCATCTTCAAACAAATCTAAAGTAAGTGTAACTCCAACTCGCCATTAAACTTACGATGATTATATGTTGAATTGGTGAATTATGTTCTTGAAAGCTAGGATTTCAAATTATACCATTGAATGAATTGTGTGAAATTTATGTTTGGATTGTGAAATTGATGAGTGATTGACTAATGTGAGGTTATGACATCTATTTAATTGTTGATTGAGTATATTAAATATGGTGCTTATATAAACTTAGGAATTCTAGGGTTTGGTTAATTGTCGAATGGGGACTTTATATTATGATGCAATTGAGTAAGTAATTAATTGGTGAATTGCCATTGTAATATTGATGGGTCTATGCTTAATTGTAGATTTATCGTAGGTAATGTGGTGTTTATGTAAAATTTAGAAATTCTTAGTTTTGGGTTCGTGTGACTAATTGATGGATTAAACTTAATGATAAATCTACAATTGTGTAAGGAGAAGGAAATTATCGAGAAGAAGAAGGAGAAGGTGAGTGGTTATTTTGGCCAAAACATTGGGAAAGGAGGAGAGTGGTGGTTTTTTAGGGTTTTGAGGTGATTTCATCTTCAAACAAATCTAAGGTAAGTGCAACTTTGACTCACCACTAAACTTATGATGATTATATGTTGAATTGGTGAATTATGTTCTTGAGAAACCTATGGTTTCAAATTATGTCATTGAATGAATTATGTGAAATTTATATTTGGATTATGAAATTGATGAGTGGTTGACTAATGTGAGGTTATGACATATATTTAATTATTGATTGAGTGTATTAAATGTTGTGCTTATGTAAATTTAGGAATTCTAGGGTTTGGTTAATTATTAAATAGGGCATTATATTATGATGCAATTGAGTAAGTAATTAATTGGTGAATTGTCATTTTAATATTGATGGGTCCGTGCTTAATTGTAGATTTATCATGGGTAATGTGATGTTGTAAAATTTAGAAATTCTAAATTTTGGGCTATGTGACTAATTGATGGATTAAACTTAATTAATAAATATTCATGGCTATGGTATTCGGTATAGGTGAATTGAGATTGTTTTATGCATGTTGGGTAACTTGGGAGGAATTTGACTTTGGTTTGTTGATTTTTGATGGGAATGTTGCTTCATATAATTCGACCATAACTTGTGAATGATTGGTTCAAGTTTAAAAGTGGTTACTTGATTTTGGATGACTTGGCTTATTGGATAGATTTAGTTAGGATTAGGATATATGATTTGGCATGCATGTGTGTATAATCGATTGGTTAATGGATGAATTTTTTGAGTAGGAAGCTAAGTAATATCACTTGACCGTGTGTTTTGGTTCTTAGTGGATAATTTATGGTTTGGCTTTGATGTGCTTGATATAAATCGTTCATGCTTGGTTAATTAAAAGATTTTGTATCCTTGGTTGCATGGAACACTTAAGGATAATAGTTGTCATTCAATTTAGGCTTGTAGTTTGATTGGTTTGACAAAAATCGATAGTCTAATTTTTGGCTTATGCTTATTGGACTTGATGAAATCATGGATTGTATTGATTGTGTTGGATTGTGTTATTGTTGTGTGATGATTTTGGCTTGTTGATGGGTTGATTTGTCTATCGTTGCTTGGTTTGATTGGTTCAATAATTGGATAGTAGTGTTTATGAGGAATGGTTTGGCTTAGGTAGTTTTAATGGAGGATTGTCTATTAGTATTTTGTGATGGGTTCGGCCTATGGCCATTGAAATGCTTAATATGATATGGCATGATAAAATTCAGATTTGGTGATTAATTAAGATTGTTTGGATTGTGTTTTATGGTGGGTTAGGCAGGAGTTTATTCGTTTTGGACTATGTTCATGGAGGGTTTGATGTTGTTTAGAATGTATTCATATTGTTTTAAGGCTTAATGTTTTGACCTTGCCATGTTATGTGAAATTTATTATGAATGCCATATAGTTTTTGTTTATGTTTGTGCTTGATGTTGTAATTTAATTGTGCTCACACAAAGTAATGTTTTACCTCACGATTTCAAGCACCCCAAGAAAGGACAAGTACATGATTTCTATAAGGACATGATTTTATGGGGATATGACATGGTTAGGCATGCTCACGATGGATAAGGGAAATGATGAGTCCTTGTGAGGTTTATTGAATCAAACTTATCTAAAGCCTTTAAGAAAAAAGAGGGCTAAAATTATATGTTTTAAGCATGATGCACCTGGAAAACAGAAAGAATTTCAAGCATGTAAAATGATATTTTTAATTGTATTTCATGCATGATTACATTTATTGAGCTTTAACTTACTATTTGTCTAGTAGTATAAGTAAGCAAAGCAATACTTGAGGATCGGTTAGATGTGTTAAGGATGTTGGTTGTGAGATTTTGCCAATCAATTAACACTTCATATTTCAAGTAAGTGGGCTTAACAAGTTTATTAACAAAGTTAACACTGGCTGTAATTTGAGTTGTCGAACAAGATATTGCACTAATTGGGTTAGAAAAAGGTACAAAATCCTCAACAAAAAGACTTTTATTCTGCGAAGTCTATAGCAACCTATATAAAATAATTTAGAACCCAAGAGTTCATTTATATTGTTGATAAAATTAATTCTCATTTCAGCGATCTGAAAGCTGAAACAAAACTAATTAAGTTGACAATGGTGTGTGGTCAAGTGAATTTTGTACAGATACAAGGATCTAATTAAGTTGACATTTGTGTATATATAGTCCTGTAAGAATCTAATTATTATATACATTTATACTGACTTGTAACAACTCAAGAATCTTGGAGACAAAACAGGCCAGCAACAACTCCCTTGCCCTCTTCTCTCTCTTTCTATCAACATCTATATTTTAGTGAGAAGACACCAAAATAGCCAACCCATGGTTCTCGAAGGTCGAGCTTATGCCGAGGAATCAGGAGACAGGTCAAAACAAGATGAAAACTTACAGCCTCAATATATAGATTAGATTAGTCCTACTTGGTTAGTATTATACAGACGCCATTCAAGATCTCTCGGTCGGTGCTGTCTTTTTCTTCTTCGTCTTTGACAAGGTTTTCTTCTTCATGTGCATAGTGTATATACATATATATATATATATATATATATAGCTAGAGCTGATCACATCTCATAATTTAGTACAGATTTTGCAGAACCAAGTACAAGAATATGATGAGGTTTAGAACTCTCTCTCTCTGTGTTTCTTTGCTTTTCTTCTTCCATTTGGTGTTTTTTGTCCATGGGAAAGCGGATACCAATCAAGTGCTGGTGGGCAATGGAAATTCTGCTCATATGGTCAGTGCTTGATATTTCATTGTCATGTTCTTCTACCAAATTTAGCCCTTCGCGTTTTTTTTTTTTCTCTTTTTCTCTTTGTATAAAACAACCCACATTGAATCCATTAAATTCATCTGAGGTGATTTTTTCTTATTTGAATTAAAAAAATCTTAATTTGCAGATTTGTGTACTTTGTTTTGATTAATTTGAAATGATTATAACAGGGACGAGCTGATCATGAGTGTAGTGGGAAGGAGAGGAGAGAGTGCAAGAAATTAGGAGTTGAAGGGTCAGAAGAGACTCTTTACGAGAATGAGGACTACATTTACACTCAATCTAATCCTTAGATCACAGTAGTCTCTTTAAGATGTAATATTGTAAGATGTAAATTAAATATTTTATGCTAATTCAATCCAATAATATTTAATCCTTGATATAATGGTATTAATTAGGTAGCTATAGAGTATGATTCACCATTTGTTAAGAAATAAATCAAGCAAGAAAATATAATAGAAAGATTAGAGCAATCATACAATAAAAAGATTTATGTAATTTAGCAATTATACCTAATTCATGACTATATTAGAATTTTTTATTAGGGTTTTTTTAAATGATGACTTATAAATACAAGTGATGTTATCTTTATTTATAGCATGGACAATTAGAGTTTTTTTTTTTTAAAAAAAAAATTAACAAAGTTATACGTTTACCTCAATATGCTGTAGACTTTTCAAGAACTCCGCCCTTAAACTTTTACAAGAGATGCTGCCCCCTTGACCTATGCTCGTTAGCAAAACTACCATATGTTTAGCATTTAAAACTACATATTGCATCTACATCGGTATTTACAATTTAACATCATTAGTATTTTCATTCTATGTTTTTTTGTTTAATCTCTTGGGAGGATAATGCTCCATGCACGCATGCTGAATGATTTTCCAATTAGCGGGCTTCGCCTGTATATCTATTTTGGGATTGAGGGTAAAATGATGGTCTAAAATATATGCAACAAGGTTTAATTTTGGAGTTCATAGAAACAATTAAACCAAAAAAAAAAAAAAAAGGATAATGAGAAAAATTATCTTTTTCTTGTAATTAGTTTTAGAATTCTAAAAAAAAAAAAAACCAACAATAATCATTTATAGATTTCTTATGAAATAACCAATTTAGAATTTCAAGATTGAGATTAATTTCTGATTTCTCCTTTTTGTTTTTGCGATGAGTGAGGGATAATATTTTTAAGCATTGTATATATTCTGTTTTTTATTCATGATGACTTCAGTAAATCATAATATAGAATATTATTAAAGCAGATAATCAATTCATAGGTAGAAAACACGTTCCTGGCAAGGGAACGTAAATAGCTAAATAATAGTTTACCTTTGACAGCATATTCATATGCACTTATTTGTTATATATATATATATACTGCTAAAAACTCGTATTTTCTTGTTTTACACGAACCTTTATAATAAAATTACACCGAAGATCGATAGAAGTAAAAAAATAAAATGGCTGGGCCGTATAAAAAAGAAAGGAAATATGGGCTTAGCTGGGCTGGATTGCTCGGCTTACCAGATTTGGATAGTTTAGGCTAAACAGTGTGGGATTGGGCCTGTATAGTGGGCTAGGCTTAGTGAGCCAAAAGCCCATTGGACCCAATGGTTCAATAACCTTCAATTTTCTTTAGGATTTACTTCAACTAGTTTTCCTAAGTCAATTAAATCTAAAAATTTTATGCATGTCTCATGTTTTCATTCCCAATCTAGATCAATTTTTTTATTTAGAATTTTTGAACTCCTTTTACTTATTTATTTCCATTTATTTGGTTTAATGCTTGTTTATTAATTTTGCTTGGTATTTAAATTGTAGTTTATCTTAGTACTTAATATTAATTAAATCTGGAATTATGGTTGTGAATTTTAGACTTCTATACATATGTGTAGTTTTTGCTAAGTTAATTTCAGATTTATTTAATGTTGAATATTGTTTAAATAACTCGTTAATTTAATTAAGTACTTAATAGGTGGGTGGATTGTCGAGTCTCATAATTTTTTAGGATCGATGATGATTTTTCACCAATTTTAGAAAAAATATATAAAAAAATGATAAAAAAAAGAGAGATATACAAAGAAAAGAAGAAAAAAATATATATAGAGAAATGTTAGGTGAAAATTAATAACTCTCTTATTTAAAAGAGACTAATTTTAATTCAAATCAATCATATTTTAGTAATTATATCATTCATACCGGTTATGTTGAGACTTAAATTGGATCCGATATTGAATTGACAAGACTCTCGATGATGGGGTCCGACGATTGAATTTAATATGGTTCCACAAAAAAAAATAATAATAATAAATAATAATTTGGCTTAGATAACAAACTTAGAAGTTGACTCAAAAATAATTTGACAAAAAAATAAAAATTTTTAGGTGATAAACTTTTTGGATTAGACTAGAAATGGTACCTTTTTTCAAAAATGGTGTCTTTGTGAGATTGATATCTTTCCAAAGATATAACCAACTATTTACCCTAGAATCTCTAAATCGGCGCTACTTTAAGGCTTCCTAGTCTCTCAATACTAGTGGCTTCAAAACGTGGTTTAACTCATATTTTCAGTAAATAAACAAAATACATAATTTTTAATTGGAATAATTTTTCGAAAGTCCCTTAAATGCTCGGCTAGCGACGAATGACGACTCTAAGTAGGGATTTGAAGTTAGGTTATGGATTTAATCCTTTTTAATTTATCTTATTTATTTATTTTTTTTCATTTATTTTCCAAGTCATTTATTTTTGTCATTTAATTAATTCTAAGTTATTTTTTTTATGTAGTTTAATTCTCACATTTTAATTTTCGTATTTATTTCAAGTCATTTAATTTATGCAATTTATTTTCCTTGTGTTTTAATTTTTGTGCATATTTATTGTAAACTCGGGTTGGATATATTTGCTTTGAACTTTTGCACATACCACAAGAAAAGCCTGGAAAAGCTCTAGACCCAAGCTAAAAACTCTTTTACATTTAGACAAAGAGATTTAGAGGCAAGTATGACTAAAGTATATTAATGCTCATTCAAATTCTCATTTGGATTGGAACTCATCCTATGCAAATGAAATTATGGAATGACTTTTTCATATCTCTTGATGCATAAGATCGAAGCTAAATTTAGATAGTTCGAAAACTTGAAAGGACTTTAGGATTAAATAAGTCTTACCTAAACTCTAAAAAAACTAGATCTTATCCACTATGATTATCCATTTAAGACACAAATTATCGTTAAATGATGCCAATTCTAACTTTTGTTTCTACATGTTATCACCTAAATAAATAATCATAAAGAATGGCATTCGGGATTTTAAAGCTAGATCGAGTGGGCTTAGTTTAAGGATGGAGACTATCTTTTTCCTTATAGTTATTGTTTCTATACAAAACTCAAAAACCTTATAGCTATTATTGCCTCATCTCTTGGTCCGGAATTGTGAATAGAAGAATAGGGATCTATTATTTAATAAAAAATATCATGAGCATTGCAATATGATCTAAGTGGTTGTTACGTTTATTTTTTAGTGATCATAATATAAATCAAATAGTAATATTATTTTTATCCTTCAATAAAAAATGAATCTAGGTCATATTTAAAATGTGCTAGAAATCCAAATTTCAAATTCCTCTGTTTATTTTGTCATAAGATACACTCATCATTGAAGGTCTTAAAAAAAGATATTTATCAAAGACAAATCTAATCTAGGGTACACACGTTTTTCAAATCATCCATGGTATCTATGAAGTTGTACACTCAACGGGCATTAAAAAATTTTATCCGGCCCATCCTCGGCATAAGTTCTACCGCGATTTTGAAGTTTGCGGCAAGCAAAGAAATCCATTCCGAGTTCACATCATGCATTTATAAGTTTACTATATATATATATATATATATATATATATATATATATATATATATATATATATATATATATATATGTTTTGGGTCTTATTTTTTCAGAATTTGAAATATAAGCCACCCTACCAAACCCATCTCCTTCAAATCCACCACACCCGACTTAGGCATCGTCGAATGGAGAATGAAAAAAAGCAAAGTGGGAGTAGGCCCATCAACAGGAACTTGACAAAATGAAAAGAAAAATTAGCCGTTTGACCAATCTATTTGAAAAGGCCTTGTTGGCACTACCAAGTGAAGGAAGCACTTCAATTCGGACCAAGGCCAAACCTAGGGTGACATGCCATACATCCTTCTAATGCGAAACTTTCAACTCAAGCCGTTTACTCGTCCGACCCACTAATCTTAGGGCAACATCATTTCTCATTAATGCCTTGTTTTTTACTAGGCCATTTTTTTATGTAATAGGCTTGCAAGCATCATGTATGCAAGGTGTGCCTACCGATGAGTGCATAATTTGCATAACCCTTATGCTTTTTTACATTAAACTTTGTAGTACTTATTTTATTATATTTAGAAAATTAAGATTAAGAAAAAAATTTTGGGTTTTGTAGTAAAAACGACAAATTGAAGCAAAGAAACCCAAACCAAAGTAAGGAAAAGCTAGAATCACCAAAAAAGCCTTAGGAGACACACAGTCGTGTGTTTTATAAGAAGAAATAGCTATTGGTCGTATGAAATAAAGGAGAAAATCGTGTGGTTATCTAGCAATAATTCCACATAGGTAGTAGCACTCCACATGACATCCACTAAAGAAGAGACATGCCCATGCATATTAAAACTAGAAGAATTCCAAAAAATGAAGCAACAAAGTCACATCCCTAAATAGAAAAATCTCTTGTAATCTAGCTAGCATCTACTAGGTTATTCAATATTTAGGGATTAATCAAATAACATCTCGTTTCGTTAACAAATCAATAAAGAAACTAAGGTTTTATTTTGGAATTCCTATTTGGCAACCATCCCTAAATAGAAAAATCTCTTGTAATCAGTTATGAGTCACTAAATATCTATATTGGTCGAAGCAAAGTTGATACTTTTGGTAAAATCATTGTGAGATCTTAACGGGCTCTAATTTTAAACTTATTTTTTTAGTATTTTATGTTTTTTTTATATTATTTGGTTATGATTGTGTTATTAATTGATTAAAGTGCACACTAGTTTCTTGATCATCATAATCTATTGTTAGCTAAGTATTTAAATCTATGTAATTACTTGTCTAAACTTACTTGTGACGATGAACTCAAAGGTTAATTATTATAATAATGTTTTTGTTTAATTCATTGAAAAATGTAGAACTAGATTACTTCTTTCTACAATCTAGAAGGGTGGTTTAACTTCACTTGTCTTTCTCTATTTAATTATGTTATTGGATTAAATCT